TAGAATCATAAATATCCAGTTATGATATAGTCACGTGACAGATATATAGAGTTTGTAACTTCCCAGGCCTGTTTCTAAGCAGTTTTCTATTGGGTTTATTAGGGTGACACATTGGCTAATAAAATTATATGGGTTTCAGGTGTACAGTTCTACACGACATCATCTGTATATTGTATTGTGTGTTCACCACCCCCAGTCAAGTCTCCCTCCATCACCATGTATTCCCTCCACCCTCTTTCCTCCTCCACACACACCCCTTCCCTCTGGCAATCACCGAGATTTTTTTTCTCTGCTTAATCCCTTCATCACCTTCTAAGCACTTTAATGTCTCATTTTGCTAAGCACTGATAATGATTCCTAGACTAACTTCATATAGTGTAGTTTTTATAAATATGTAAGGGATGCATTTTTTACGTCCCAACTCAAATAAAAATGTAACCTCGTTCCAGTCCACCCCCCATAAGGCCAGGTGTGATGGATGGGGAGGCTGTTTTCCTCCCGACATGACCACCTCACCTCCAGCATGCAGAGCCCACCTTAGGATGGTGTAAGCGCCTCGATTCTTGACAGTTATGTTGTCTTCATGGGTGGAGTGACTCGGGCCCATACCCAGAACAGCACAGCAGCTGGCCAGGCTGATGGGGGACTTTATGTCACTGCGTCCTGCCACAGTGAGACGCTCTGATTACTCAAAGCATCTGGTCGACCTGTGAATGAGGCAGGCGTTGAACAGCTCTGGTCCAGCTGTGGGTGTCCCCCCATGCTGGTGCCTGGATACTCTCCACCTCCCTCCTGCAGTCTCTCTAGGTCCAGACCACCCCAGCTTAGGATCCCCAGTGTCTCTCCATTCTTATCACTTTTATGATTCTTTTTCATCCAAGGAGCTTGACAACTTTCTGTAGCTCTTTGAAAAGGAAAACTCATTCTCTTGGTCATATTTTCTTCTCAGCAGGACTTAAGTTAGGGGGTGAGGGGGAAACAAAAATAAAGTCAAGCTCAGAAAAAGGGAAAGGAAAGGGGGACACTAAGTTAACTCTCAGTACAGTATCCCGGGGGCTCGAGAGAGACCTGTGTTCTCAGGAAAATGGCCTCCTTTCTCATACTCCTCATTTTTTGTGGCTGTGAAATTCTTCCCCGCAATATAAACATGATTATTTAATATTTCCATTTTATTAGCTTTACTAATACACTTAATATTATAATTACTTGTCCTATTACTTTTTATAGCTGGGATAAATTTAGCCAGAACTCCATAGTGGGTCCATAAAATTCTCCTCTCGTTCCTTCGCGGCACACCTGGGCCTCCTGAAACAAAACCCCAGTCAGAGCCTGGGATTTAGGGCCGTCGTTTTGAATTTCCCGGGCTTCGAGCTCACACCTTGCTCCACCATGCCTCCACCGCCATTGCCCGCTCACGCGTGGCTTCGCCTTCTGGCTTTACCTGGCACCTAGGGTGGCTTTTATCTCGCACTCTCTGGCTCTCCTCTCAGCTGCCGCACATCCCTGTCCAGGAGAGGGAGCAGCCACCACGGCTTGTTTCACGAAAAGTCCAAGCTCCCCTCTGTCAGGGGGCTTCACCCCACACAGCGGACTTGGAGGACTGTGAGCGCATGGCTTCCTTCACACTAGGAATCAATTTTGGGGTCAAAATGCTTACAGTGAAATTCTTTATATTTGGGGTCCAAATGCTTACAGTGTCCAATATTGATCATATATCTTTACTACTTTTTAATACGTTTTTACTGATTTGGGAGAGAGAGGAAGGGAGAGGGAGAAAGAGAGAAACACTGGTGAGAAAGAGAAGCATCATGGCCGACCTCCTACACACCCCTTACTGGGGATTGAGCCCGGGCATGTGCCCTGACTGGGACTCGAACCAGAGACCTCTATCAGTGCACGGGGCGATGCTCAACCAACTGAGCCACCATGGCCAGGCCTTTACTAAGTTTTAAATACCTATTGTATGGTGTCCAGCTGGAGTAGCTAAACTTTCTGTAGGCATCACAGTAAGTGCCTTTATTTTCATCTTCTGTAAATTTAAAAGAACCACCAAAGATGATTCTTCTAGAGCAGTGGTTCTCAACCTTGGCTGCACATTAGAATCACCTGGGAATCTTTTTAAAATCCTGATTTCTGGGCCTCATCCTCTGGAAATTCTGTTTCTTTGTTACTAATGTTGTGGCCCCACCCCATAACAAAGAAACAGAATTTCCGGAGGATGAGGCCCAGAAATCAGGATTTTAAAAGGATTCCCAAGTGATTCTAATGTACAGCCAAGGTTGAGAACCACTGTTCTAGACTAGTTATGCTCTTTCATCAGAGACGATGTCCAACCTCCCACCTTTATTCTGGTAGTGCATGTATTGTAATTATTGATAATAAATAATAATAATAAGCTTCCTTACAGAAGGCATTCCCTGGAAATTCAGGGGATGGAAGTTTCACTGTGTGCTTCACAGATTTCATGTATTTCATGTCCTCAACTACAAAAACTAGACAAAATCAAGCCACTTCAGGAAACGAGGAAGAAGGAAAAAATAAACAAAGGGTGAAAACTCTTTGAATACGTCACTCAGAACTATGAATGTATTCGCTGCTGAGGCGTCCACATTCCTTGGCCTCCTTCTAGGAGCCTTTCAAATCCGGCCCCACTCCACTTGCCTACCCTCCCTTCCATCCCTTCCTACTCACCCACGCCCTGCTGCTCGGCCTACAGTGCCCGCACCCTGTCCTCTGCCCGTGCAGCCCGTGCCCACTTCCTGCGAAGCTGAATTCCAGTGCCACCCTCTCTATGGAATGTGTTGCTTTCCTCCTGTTGACTTCGTCTTCTTGTCTAGGGATCCTCAGTCCGATTAGAAAGGCCATTCTTGCACGTCTCTGGGGAGCTCGCCATGTCCTTGTGGACAGAGTCCGGCACGTTAACATCTGTGAATCCCTAGGATATAGACGACTTCCTCTGGACAGAAGAAACTCCACAGCCGTGTGAGTGAGTGAATTACCTGCGGCAGAGGCTGCTGGCATAAAAAGGAGGAACTGACTGTCTTGGTATCGATTAGGTTAGGGTCTGGTAGAGCAGATGAAAAGTAGACACATCATTATAAAACGAGCTATTTAGTGTAATTGCCTTAGAGCCCAATTATACACATGCTTTCTCTCTATGTATTTGCTTTGTATTAAATACTAAAGAGTATTTCCCCACATACCTATGTCGTCCTATTATTACAAGAAATGCCAGTCTTTTTCGTTCGATTACTGATTTATTTGTTGCACTCTGTGATTTTAGAGCCCGCCTCCTTGATTTCATGTTTTAGAAACAGGTTAAAGGAAAAGAACTAATCCAACCTGCTCAATAGACCCAGAACTGCCTCAGCTACCGTAGAATTAATTCATTCCCCTTTGAAATGAGCGCTGGCTCCTGTGAGTCAGATGGTGCCACGCATGGGGCAGCCTTGCCAGGCACCACCCGGGCCGCCTCCTCACGGAGCCCGAGTGTGTCACCCACGCTGGAGTCTGCCCAGGAGCTTTGGGGAAGTTTCCTACACGGTTAACAACCGCGCCTCGCCAGGATTCGAAAGTTCATATTTTTCATCAGTACCCGTTGCCCAAATGTCTTTGGACCGGGTTTCTGGCACAGACTTGTTCAGGAAATAGGACGGGAGGGAACACCTATTTTACATTTTAAGTGAAAAAACACTCACAAGAACATTACGCAATCATGATTTTTAAACAGTTGGTTGGTGGTGAAGTTCAGGCTCCACATCTCATGACTGTACTTTGGTTATGGGAGCTGCCATCTCAGGTCCCTGCGGTGCGACCAGCATGTCATTTCCCTAATTAACCTGCTTAATCTAACAGGTTACAATGTGACGTCACTGTTAGAAGTGAGCACAAGGCCCCTTGTCTTCTGTTCCTAATTACAAGTGAAAGAAATTAATGACAGCAGATTTTCAGGAGAAAATCAACTGTTCTACTCATTTGGGCCCTGGAGTCCTGTACATGTGCCTTGATTTGACATGAAGATCAACAAATGTTGCCATAAGATTCATATCCCATCTGAAAATTAACTTTAGCAGGGGTCGTGGTGGTGATCAGCATTAGTTTGTAAGTTGCAGAGGAGATAAAATATTTATTACCCCCCCCCAAAAAAAGAAAGGGAAAGTTCCTAGTAATTAAAGCCTTGATCATAGTATAAGTATGTTTTAACCCTACTTTATTCCAATAAGATATAACTTTATCATTTCTTTTATTTTTTCCTTCAATATATTGCAACTTTCTATAAGCCCATGTAGATATATCCATATGTAATAAAAAACAATAGTTTAGAATCAAGTATTTATTATAGTTTTAAATGTCTAAGCATTAATCAATTAATCATTTTTTTATTTTTAAAAAATCTTTATTGTTGAAAGTATTACATATGTTCCCTTTTT